ATTTTTTTTCTTTATGTGCTGTAGAGCTTCTCTCAGATTTTAAACAGTAAATGCTGTTAGAACTTACATAATTTGGTCCAAACTGGAAGAATTACGTATATATGTGATGTTCTGAGATATCGGTTACGTAGATGTTTGAGATGATCTCTGATCTATAAAGAGTAAATCAACTAACTACTGATGTCTTTGATCTTTTTGTTTTATTTGTGTCAATTTTCCTCACAAGACAACGATCAAAAGGTCATCTGTATGTATATGCATGTTGTGTTCTCTCTCTAGATACACAAAAGAATTTTCTTTTTTCTTTTTTTACGATTTTAAACAAATGCGAAGGTGGGTAGTTTCAGAAGTGTCTTAGAGTATTGAATAAATATTCTGTTGATCAGTATAGAGAACAAAATATGTATACACGTGCATATGACCTTTTGAAAAGGCTTATGTTCATTCCTACAATAGACAAATATCGACAAACGAACATACATACTAAGAAAATTCTTTTCTTTATCTAGAGAGAACACAACATGCATAGAGTGAGTGTTCCTAATTTGAACCGAAAAAACGCATCATGCAGTTTCTTCTTGATTCTATAGTGATTAAGTGAGAGTTTAGTAGATGTTTATATTTTTGAGTAGAGTAAAGTCTCCTGAATCGAATGGTAAAAGAATTTTTAAAATCGGACTTAAATTGAGTGAGTTACGATCGGGAATGTGAGCAGTGTTTCGATCGTTCACATTATGGACCCAGTCCCTAATCTGAACGGAAAGAGAAAAATGTTCCTAATGCGAGCGGTCCTATTCAAATACACGTGAAAATAGAAGATTGTGGATAAACTTTGTTTTCTATATCAAAAGTTCATTTTTAAGAAAAAACGCTTCTCCCACATTTTCATTGCTTAAATTACGAAGCAAAAACTACGTTACAAAACAGTTCAATTAGTTTGTAGACCAATTGTAAGAGACAATGCAGATTTAAGATCTCGCAGACATGTTGTAGTCCTGACAATTCTGAGTATATTTTGTCTGAGACATATGGTTTGATTGTGTAATCGCGGTAGCAGAAAAGTAGCGGATACTAAAAGTCTCTCAATTCTCAGCATATTTACACGAGAGCGTTCACATTAGGAACAAAAATTCTGTTTCCGTTCGCTTTAGGCACGTGGTCCCTAATGTGAACGGATATAGGTCATTTTCTTTAATTGAACTTTTGATATAGTACTTAGTATATAACTAATTGAAGTTATGTAAACAAATATCGGGGTATCCTGTGGTTGGTAACGCTCATATACCATTAGAAGAACCCAATGTAGAACAACCAATCGAAGAAAAAAAAATTCAGACAATAATGGTACGTTCAAACAGCTTTAAACAAAGTGAAGAAAAAACCTTTGAAAAAAATGTTTTTCATGCTCTTCTTTATAGTAATCGATTATTCATAAGGTTTGTTTTCATTTTTTAGATATATAAAAATCCCAATGATGGACATGATGTTGATTTATTAACAATAACCGGTGTTAGACAAAAAATTAATTTATATGTAACATTATTAATTGATATTGTTTTTACACAACAAGAATTATTGCAACTTGATGCAACAAAATCAAATTTAATGATGACTATAAATTAATACAAGGTTTGACTAAGAATTATTTTATCTTGTTTGTTTAACACACAAATAATCTCATATATTGCTTATCACATCTCCTTTTTTTAGAAGCTGTACGAAATAAATTTCG